CTTTTTCGAACAGGAAATATTTGCTCAGTGTATTCACGACTAGAACAGTAGTGTGATTATCAACGTTATTCTATGCAAGAAACGAAAGTATTATATTGCCTACGTATGCATCATGGCTTCCTCTATCCAAGTAGGGTGTGGGTGTGGGTGTGTGGGTGTGGGTGTGGGTTGGTAGGGCTGTGGATGGAACGAAGAATCACACCCACACCAGAAGGAGCACCAGAAACGGTAGCCCTAGAAACAACAAACATACACAGATGTTCAGTCGCGTTTGGTGCATTTTCAAAGTTTTAATCGATTTAAATAAAGGTTTTGGCGGTCTGTTTATATGACCGTGCCAAACAGGAAATTTTCTCTTTTTTTCATTATCGTCCCCTTTAGGTGATTTTTTGGAAGAGTGATATCCAATAGAGCAAAAAATATACCAATGAAAAGAAAACGTTGAACTATGATATGCTGAATTCGACATAGTGGACCCAATCGTTGAGATTTTTCTAGATGGACATGGGATCGATCGCTTATCGTTCGAAAACATATTAATTCAAGATAAGATATAAGTTGAACTTCTATCGAAATAATTCTACTTTCGAATGACTATTGATTCTTATTAAGGGTGGGGTGTGGGTGTGGGTAGGGAGAAAACTTTGATTAGGCACCCACACACACACACCTGTATATATGTTACGAGTACTTGCTAGTCAACTAGCCGCTTCTAGAAAAGTTTTAATTTATAACTTTTTAAAGTCGAACATGGTCAGAACTTTTGCAGAAAATTCATACTGAAATTTGACTGGAAAGAGTTCGATAGAAGAGATCGGTTCTGGCCAGGAAACATTGACTGCTTTGTCATTTGCAAACACATTGTTCAGAATATATGTAAAGAAAAGAAACGGTTAGTCACTACTCGTGTTTGAAGATCATAATGACGTGTTGTTATCTGTAAGAATAAAAAGGACAAAGTCCCACACACTTTTTACTCTGTAAGAATGATAAAAAGTAAACTATTATTCTTCTTCACCTTCGCCCTGTATCACTTAGCTCACGCATGAAGCTCTAGTCGTTTCAATAAAGATTCTTCGAGAGGTAAGTGCTTAATATGTTTTTTTTATCTAGCATTATCTCTCGTTCCGATCACACAAGCAAGCTCGTGAACGGTTATACATCAATAAATTTGAGCTTACAAGTAACGTTCCTTAGTTCTAGATTTAATAGTATTGTTTTTACAGCAGCATATAGCATATTTAAGGGTTATAATTGTATAAGGACTGTAGTTACTATTATTCATATAATTTTCTTTTGTATTTATATATATACATATACAATTTGTATGTACAATTTATGTATTCACATATATATATATAGTAGTATGATCGACGTTTTGAAGAATTAAATCTTTATTATCAAGATATGTATAAAGTGTAAACTACAACGATTAAGGATGAGTTAGACATTATATATTGTATTGAGACAAAGAGTGTTCTGCTGGGTGTGGGTGTGAATACAGAGAACACTAGTACACACGCCCACACCCTTTATAACCTTTTTTTTAAATATTTTGTATTCATAAAGAAAGTATCATGTTTTTTTTTGTTGTAAATATGAAAAATTGTGAACTTGATTATAATAAAGTTATGTAATACAAGATAAAATAATATAATATTGAATAATCAGTCAGACGGATAAATCTATTAATAAATTTCACTTTGTTTTGAAAACAATTTGACAAATACGATATCCCATGGGGCGATTTCTTTTTTATCCCATTCTATCCCACAGGAGGCTCTGATAGGAATAATCTTCTTTCTTACTGCGTCATTTCTTTTTGTACACGGAGTTGTGAGAATTTTTGAACAGCACACATTATATGTATAAATACATGCTTACAATTCAGTATATTCCCATTAACCAACTATTCTTTGTAGTCAGAACCAAAGGTAGGTTTCTGTGAAAGCACTTAGTATATAATTTGCCTTCTGTCTTAACTTGAATTTATTTAGACATATTTGCCTATTCATTGTCTATTTCAATTGAACGATCAATAGTCAAATCAACAAGAAGAAAGAATGTCATCATTGGAATTTAAAATTGTTGATATTTTTGAGAAGAAATTATTATCAATTCGTTCAATATCACAAGGTGATTTATATGAAAAATGTGGACGAAATGAATTGTTAAAGAAAATTCAAGCGTTTACACAAGAAAATCAACCAATTAAACTACTTTTGCCAGCATTTCCGTTCAAATCTCCGAATATGGAAAAAGTTTGTGGAAAATTGCCCGATGCTGGAGAATTATACGCACTTGAATACTTAAACAAAATTTGTCAAGAAATCAATTTTCTCTATGAATATGGTTGTGATCTGGTAATATGGTCAGATGGACGAGTATTTAATGATCTTATTGGTGTGTCTGACAGTGACATGTTCACATATATGAGTCGTTTGAAATATTATTCAATCACAATGACCCAAATACAATGGGATAGTATGGATAATTATATTGGAATTGAAAATGGTGAAAGTTTAGTGAAGAAGTATGGCACATCAACTTTTGATTTTGATCAATGGCTACTCAAATCCGAAAATGATCGACAACAATTTATTCATTTGAGAAAATTTATGGAAAATGATTTGGGTAACAACACCGAAAACAACAATCTTTCACGTCGACAATTAAAAACTCAAATGAGTTTAATTGCCAAACAAATGATTATACGAAATGAAGCATTGACAAATCTATTAAAAAAACACTATCCGAACCATATTCGTCTATCCATTCATCAACATCCAAATAATGGAGAAAAATTTACAATTCGCTTTTTCATGGATGCTACCATGACCCAATCTGATGATCATTGTGCTCTTCGCACACCATGGCACAATGTTTTAGTTATCAATGTTGAAGGAAATCTAAATTTAATGCCATATCGAAAATTAAATGTAGAATGTGAACATGTTCCAATAATGTTCAAAAGTCAAATATGGACTTTTGTTCAATTACCTCGCGATTCACCTGTTTCACTAGCGTCCACTTTGAAGTTGTCGTTATTAGGTGATTCACCTCACTTCGGTTTATCGATCGATTTAAGTAAGAAAGTTGACGTATTTCAATTGAATGTTGCCTGGATGAAGATGTTAATGGAAAAATTCTGTTTCATTGTTCTTCGTCAATATCCAAACTCACTTGACAAAGACAAGTATTCACAATTCTGTGAACAATTTGGTCCATCAGTTATGTGGAAATTTGGTTCGTTGCTCACGATTGGGGATGCACCAGTCCCAGTCCTGACTGGTGAACTGGGTACTGAGTCCTTTGATCTTTAGTCCATTAGTCGAGTAGTACTTTCTTCTTTTCTAGTATATTGTCATACAGTGATTTTTAGGCTGTTGACCTACTGATATAAACTATAACACTGAATCCATTGGCTCATCATATATTTCTATATATCAATCGTTATAATTTAGAATACTATAAATAAATTTCATGTCTTCAGGGTGTTGGTGTGTAGATGTTGTTTGAATGTGGGAATGGTTAGAATGACAATAACGACACCCATACCAACATCAAACCCACATCCACATCCTTAGAAAAGAGGGAAGTACTGATCGATTAGCGGAATAGGCGTCAAATGACTAAATACCCAGTCCGATTGAGACACAGTTACTGGCCTACTCACGATAAAACCAGAATTGATGCCCGAAAGTAATCATTCGTCTTGCGATTCGTTACAGTTACATTTTGATTTATGTTTTCCGCTAGAATACTTATTAAAAAGAGGTTCGTACAATGATGACATATCACAATATTTGATGCTTTATTGTGTCAAAGCTCTTCCTGAGTGAAAATGGAAAACAATATTTGTCAATGGACAATTAGTACTTGAATCAATTCAAGAAAAAGATATCCTGTATTTGAAAACAATTGACACTTCGAGTTCCATGTCACTATCATACTATGAAGGAAGCACATATACTTATCCTGTCATCATGTCACATCCAAAAACAAATGAAAATATTTTCCGATATTTAGAGATGTCGAATAATGTTATTCAACCAGACAAAGGCACATATTCAATCAATAATGAGAATATTGATACAAAAACATTTCAAGAACTTAATAGCAGGATGGAAAAGGTAATGATGTATAATCCAAAATGGTATATGGAACACGCATGGAATGATATATGAAGAATTCAAGTTTATTAACTACTCTTGTCCTCAAAAATTCATTGTATAGTAACGTGTTTTCAACTTATGAGTCTGTCTGTTCTTTTTACAAGATGTTTTTGTTTTGTATAGTTTGATGAATATATGTCGTTTTTTCTTATAAATGTCATTTACGCAAATAAATGATAAAATAAATACAAATTTTTTTTATTCTGGGTGTGGGTGTTCTCTTTATCGACACCCACACCCACACCCACCCTAAACATTGATTTTTTCCGAAAATATACCATTCGGGTGTGGGTGTGTGAGTGTGGGTGGTGTGGATGTGGGTGATGTGGGTGTGGGTGTGGGTGTGGGTGTGAGTGTGGGTATAGGTGTGGGTGTGGGTGTGGGTGTGGGTAACAGAGAATACTAGACCCATATCCACACTCGCACCCCTAGTTTTCACAGTTACATACTTTTATTTTCTTATTCATATATGTAATAGTCATGAACAGCACCCTCTATGTCTTTTATTAGAAAAAAGTTGACTTGATTGGTCAAGCGAACATGTCTTTGTCATTAATTAGAACAAACAAACAATTGAATATAAAACAGAAAAGAGAGATCGGTTTTTTTAATATCAACTGGTATTTATGCGACCTTTCAATATCAAAAAGCTGATGTGAACGAAGAAAAACTAGTGAATTCTAAATTTTTCTTCCTGTCATTTAACTTTCTCGATTTTATCTGTTAATATTCACATTAGTTATTTGCGTTTTTATTTTATTCGTTTAATATATATTTATTTCTTTTGTTTAGTTCAGTATATTTATTTAAACTTATATTCAAATCATGTCTTATGAATTGAAATCATCTCTTGAAACATTACCTATTGAACTTATTTATCGTATATTTGATAATCTCGATCTAGAAACAATTCTTTCATTTCGTTACGTATGTCAACGATTTTATTCTATTACAAATACTTACAATCGATATAAACTTGACTTAAAATTAATTTCAAAATATCATTTTGATTTAATTTGTCGTATAATTCATCCTGAAAATATTATTTCACTTATACTTTCAGATGATGATATGACACCTGGTCAAATTTCATCATTTATTTCACATTTCTCTATTGATCAATTTAATCGATTACGTACATTAACATTTTGTAAAATAACAGAACAAGATTTAAATAAATTTCTCAAACATATTACTATTTCTTCACTTAATTCATTAATTATTGAACAACGTGATTGTTATACTTCTTCAAATAGTCAATTAACAATGTCTATTCTTTCTCATATAATAACACAATCTAATCTTTGTAAACTTGAATTAGACATGAGATCTTATTGTACAGATGAAATATTATGGCCTAGTCAATATTCTATAAAATATTTGACAATTTCGAATTGTAATTCTAATCAAATTCTTATTATTCTTCGTCATTCATCTCATTTAAAATCATTTATTGTAAAGAATTGTATTATACATAATCTAACTAAAACTATTTCAATATCATCTGATTTAAAACTATTAAAACAATTAACATCAATGATATTTGAAGATAGTGAATTATCAATGGATACACTTGGATGGTTTCTTTCATCAATGCCTTCACTTATTTATCTTAAATTAGAAGGACGACCATTTATGTATGATTCAATATTTGGTCAAATTCGATTAGAAAATTTTATTCAAACAAAATTATATCATTTAGAAAAATTTGAATTCTTTTTTCGTTTTGTTTATTCAGAAGTTATACAAAATCGTAGTACTTCTATTGAAACACGTCTTGAACAATTTCGAACTCCATTTTGGCTTGAAAATAAACATTGTTTTGTTAATTGTGATTATATTAAAAGTTCTGGTGAGATTTTATTATATTCAATACCTATATGTAATCATCGTTTCGAATATTATGATGATTCAAATAAAATTTCAAGTTCAACATCTTCTACAATCTATAACGATTCAATAGTAATGGATAATGTGCGTGAACTTGATTTACATTTAAAAAATATCACCAATACATCAATGATAAAAAAGGTAAGTGTTGGTGATAACTTATTTTGTAAAATACGACCTAAAAAAGTGTTGAAATATCGGGATAAAACTTTGAATTCCCTACCTCTACAAATCACCACAGATATAACTGCAACACCAAAGTCTACTATGAGATTATTGTGAAACAAAACTGCCATTTAGATCTATGGCGAAAGTGCCATTTTTTTTTAACATTAACGGTAATACATTAAAGTTAACATTTTTCGACATCGACAGCTAAATAACAGTAGGTAGCAATTCATAAATGGAAACATATGTTGATAAATTTCCTCATTTAAAGTGTTTGCATCTTCATCGCCATTTATATTTTAATCCTACAGAAACTACGTCGACAGTTTTTACACTTAGATCATATCAAATGTAATGATGGTGACACTATAATAGCTTATAAAAGGCTTGAGAAAATATAAATACTCATAGTCAAAACAGTACTCCACAATTATTCCTATGTTTTGTTTTGGCCGATCAGTTCTACTTCTCGGAACAGTTAAAAGATGATATGAATGATTTTGTAAAGAACGATATAGGGTCACCATCACTGCTTTTGATATGACCTTAGTATTATTATTCAGATGAAGTATTCTAAATAACGTTTAAAATCTAACGATAAAAAAATGCGCATGTTTTTGATTTTTTTTAGAATGTACAACCGATGTTTCGTAAATTAACCAAGCTCAAACTTATTATTAGTGATGATTGGTCACTGGATTCATTTCAATTTGTTTCTATTTTAATCGATCTTTCACATCTAGTTAAAATAATATTAATTATTTCTTCTCGTGGTGATTTTCTTCAAGAAATGATTGTGAATTTCTTTGATTTAATGAAACAAGCATGTAATGTTTGTTCACTTGAAATATTTAATCGATGGCATGGTATTAGTAATTTTATGAATATAGAAAATTTTTGTTCAATAATGCCTCAACATATCAAACATCTTGATATTGATATTGTGAATATTAATGATATGAAAGTTATTCTTGAACGACTCGAACAATTATCAAGTGTTAAATTTAAATTTTCATTTGAAAAATGGATTTTTGCTAAAGAAATTCTTGAATGGATTTCTCAAAAAAGAAATAATTCAACACATTTGAAAGAGATGCATTATTTATCTTTGTGGCTTGGAAAAAAGAAAAATATTCTATCATCAAGAACGACTAGTCATAAACGTATCAAGCTAACTCATTAGTAATATGACTTGTGATTTATTCGAATATTTTTGTTAACATTAATGTATCTATTTCGATCCTTTTCTTTATTATTGAATTTTTGTTTATCATTATAAATAATTGTGATCTTGGATCATACAGATCAGTTCCAATTAATGATTTTACAGGTACTAGGCATTTTTTTGTTTGGGTGTGGGTGGGTGTGGAATGAATTAAAAACATGACTCACACCGACACCCACACCCTAATCATTGAAATTATCTGAAAAATGTGCAGACTATGGTACTAGCAGAATCGAAATAATTGTTAAAAAGTATCTCACATCTTCGAAGCAATTTCAAGACTCATACTAACAAAAATCCTTAAAAGTAACAGTACAATTTGGATTAGAATGCGAAAAGTTTGATCAATTAGGTCTAGATCAGAAAATGTTATCTCCAATGGACTTAATCTCTTTATTGTACGTATATAAAGTGAAAAATTGATCTATGATTAGGATCAGTTTGTGATTGCATTCAATATCTTAAAATCATTTAAATAAAGCTGAGCCACAATTAAAATCTAGAAAAAAAAAGGATTTTTTTAATATTATGTTTAATGAAAAAAGCAAGTAAATCAAAATTAATTATATTAGACTCATAATTGATAAATATCCAGAATGGAGAATATAAAGTCTTTACGCGCTCGTAAATGAGGATTTTTTTAATATAGATTTTCTCTTCCGAAGAGAAAATTTCAAATTAGACAAGACTGAATACCTTTTTTTCTTAAGTATAGACAAATTGTATGTCGTACAATAAGCACAAAGCCCAGTAGAGTTCAGACGATATCGTGAATAGTGTCGTTCTCTCTCACACTGGATAAAACATTGTACATCGGCATAATTATTGATATAGGACACAAAAATATTTCGATCGTAGAAACATATTCACTATTAGTTTCACTTTGTCGATTTAGCAACGCTTTTTACTTCGATAATTTTTGTTTTTCATATGATATCCGTCTTTAACGAGAAATGTAAATGTGCTACATAACTTTGATCCTTTTTTCTATTGTTAAGAAGTATCGTTTTTAATTTTTCAATAACCAAACTGAATTGTTTAAATTTTGAAGAAAAGAATTTTTGATATGCTTAAAAATAAAATTTAAACTTAGATAGGAGAAAAATTTCAATTTGTAATTATTTCATTTTGATCTTTTAGTATATTCGATTTTGTAACAAAAAACGTAAAGCATTAACAGAAAATAAAATTTTTATAGAATCATAATTAAATTATATTCAAATATATAAACTAAATTTTTGCTTAAACTTCTAAATGTTTCACTAAATTATGGAGTTAACTACTTGTTTTTTTTTGAAGTATAACTGAGATTTTTGTCTTGGCTTTAATAAAGATAATGCACAAGGTGGAAACCAATGGGGAGTTTTTACTGATCTTGAAAGCAAAAGAAATTCGTCGTGTATTTATTCGAAAAGTTTGTATTAATCGAAACCTATAAGAAAATAATTTTATATAAACTAGGTTTATATAATTCTTATGATTCAATTATCGATTACATTTGGTTTTATTGCATTATTTTATTTTACGTATGTTTATAATTTTTCTAATCAAACATTTTAAAGTAAATATATAATATAGACCACCGATCCGTGAATATGTACAAAGTCAAAATGGTAGATGGCTTTATTTTGCATCATATGGTGTTTTTCTAGTTACTTATTTTGTATTGGTTTGTTCACAACGTGCAGTACGAAGATTTCCACTTAATCTTATTTTACTTGGTATTTTGGTAAAATAGAAAATTAAGTTAATTAAAAAGTTAAATTTTTATTTTTAGATCTTATCAATGAGTTATATGGTATGATTCAATTTGAATATTATTTATTCTCTAGAATATTTTTGTTTTTTGAAAAAAAAACTTTAGATGGGTATGATTTCAGCATATTATAAAATTGAATCAATTTTGATTGCTATTGGTATAACAGCAGTTGTTTGTTTGGGTGTTACATTATTTTCATTTCAAACCAAATATGATTTTACATCATGTTTTGAGGTTTTATTTGTTATGTCATTAGCACTTTTAGCTTTTGGAATTGTTTGTGCTTTTACTTATTCAAGAGTAAGGATGTTAACAAAATAAAATATCTAGGATATGTTTTTCAAAAAAAAAAATTATTTGTTTTTAAGATATTGTATACAGTCTATGTTGGTCTTGGAGCTGTAGCTTTTTCGATTGTAAGTTTTAATAATTAAGAAATCCCAAAAACAAATGATTTTCTATTGTTAGTTCTTGGCTGTTGATACCCAATTAATTATGGGTGGAAAACAACACGAAATAAGTGGTAAAGATCATATTTTTGCATCACTTATGCTTTATATTGATATTATTTATATATTTGTATTTATTCTGAGTTTGGTTGGTAATCGGAAATGAAATTATCTTTTAACAACGATATCTTAGTATTTTTCATACCAAATATATTTATTATCGAACAGTTTTATTTCAATTTTTTGTTGTCTACATCTTCTTCTTCGCCATTTTTTTTTCATTTTTCTATTGAACATTCAACATTTACTTCCATAAGATTCCATACATAAACAACTATATGTACACTTAATCATGATTGTGAAGAAAAATAAATTTATATTTGTGCATCTTTGTCAAATCATTATTGTGTGAGAACAATAATAAACAAAAGAAAATTTTTAATTCAAAGTGGATTAGAATACGACTCAACTGAATCGCATCTCGGTCTTGTTTGTTAAGTTTCCTTAAGACTATTGCAGATTGCTTGTTTTACGAGAATAAATATATAGAAAGAATGACTGCAAGTAAGAGATGCATCATGATTTGGTTGAGAAATCTTGAGGGTGTGGGCGTTTGGGTGCGGATGTGCGTATCAAAGAGGATATAAGTTATACTCACACCCACACCGACACCCTTGCGATTGAAAGACTATGAATTCGAACAGATTCGTTATCGACTATGAGCCAAACAAAGAAATGATCGAGTATGCGCATATTTATAGGCGTAAGAAAAACGAGTTACACAAAGTAGTCAGAGACAATGAATGAAGATATAGTACAAGAAACAAGTCGAATTGTAACGCATCACAGTTTTGATGATTTATATTTTTTTTTTCTCATTTACCTAAATGCAAAACGGGAATGAGAAACAAAAAAAAATATGAATGAGTAAGCTATTATTCTCTTCTTTCATCATTTTTAGAAAGAAAAGAAAAGAACTAATTCCTAATGACATAGATTTCTTGTTTGAAAATGTATATTTCCTTGAGAAGGCCTATTATGTCATTACGTTGTACACGATATTTTCATTTTTATTGATTAAAAGTTACATCAAATTGAACGATAAATCTAACATCGCCGAGAGAAAGAATAAGAACTTTTCATATCGATGTTTATGAGGAATTGTCAAGAATTAATTTTAAAAACAAATACCGCTTGAATTAATAAATATATTTTTCTTATGAGAATGAATCATTTTCAAATAGACTTATTAAAAACATAAGTTGAATGTGATCATTTATTGGTTCTTTATGGAAAACAAAAAAATAAGATAAAATAAAATAAAAACATTTTATCGGTATTCCTAACATTTATTCTCGCAATAAATTCCGAAAATAGTATTAACTAATATAGATTTGATATGCTCCAACTGTAGCTCTATCATATCCACCACCATTAAAAATTGGTAGCAACGTAACACTTCCTTCTTTAATACGAGTAACAGAAAGAATTTGTTTTTGATTAAAGTTTCCTATATTGAAACTAAGTCGATTCGGTGTCCAGGTAACACAATCTTTACATTCTGAGAAGCTTGCCGGTTGCCATTCGATACTAACTGTATCGTTATGATTGATTCGATGTGGTGGAGTTGGCAACCAAACTTGAATGGTCACATTTTCGTTCAATTTCAATGTTGGCATTTGTGGATCGTAGCGAATGCCCAGCATTGTATCATTACAATCATAAGCCCAATTCTTTGGAATGTTATCAAATAGACGTTGATCAGGTTCACCTATGGATACAACCCGATACGTTGTGGTTTGACGCATCATATCCCATCCTTGTCGAACGACTTTAGTTGTTCGAAGAGGTATTTCAGTATTTTTAACAAAATAAATTTCTTCACAAGGAAATTTTTCACCAGTATATACTTCACATAATTCATCTGCATACCAATAATCTTCTGTTAGAGAAATACTTTCTGAATGAATCATTTTATAATTAAAATTAATATAGTTTCCAATATGAAATGATGTCCAGTTATAATTCCAATGCACTGGAAATGATGAAGTAGTAGTATAGAAACCACCATATTGCCAATAAGTTCCATAGATACAATCATTTGATGGAGAAAAAAGACTCAATTGAACATAATTTTTCGATTGTGGAGAGTCTGGTATTGCATAAGGAAAGTGTTTCATGGCAAAAGCTTGCAGATAAAGTGATTGTGAGATTGTGTATCTTTGATAGGCTTGTTGATTAATTTCATCGATTGCATATAATACTTCGTCATTTGATGTGTAGAAAGTGATTTGTGGTGGAAAATAAGGTTGAACACAATGAGTTATAGAATTGATTAAAGAAAACATAAGCAAACATAAGATATATTCTATTTGCATGTTGATAAAATAATACAATATCTGTTATAAAATTAAGTTTTCTAAAAAAAATTCAATGAAATCTTTCAATATAAGAAACAAGAATATTTATCGAATTGTTCTGTAAGTGTATTACACAATCAATTCGCAAAAATTTATATTGTGACGGAGAAACTAATCGATGTTTCTAATCCTCAATTTCAAACTTTGATTTTTTCTTTATTTCAATGTTTGACTTCGTTTTATTTTTCAATTTAGTTGATATGGATATGGCCAATCTATTGTATATCAATATCATTCGCAAGCGTACTCAAATTGATATCGGCTTAACAGTAGCAGTATGTCGTTGCAAATATTTTCAACGCGTATTTTTCATACAAAAATATTGATCGATAATACAAAGAAGCATAAGCAAAATGTAATAGCAGGAACTTTTAAGCATCATCATCATCATTCTTAATAACAGTCGTATTGTCTGGGTGTGGATGTGAGTGTCATTTCCCTCTTTAAGCACACTCACACTCTCTAGTGGTAGTAGGCAAAATATCGCCAGCTCCAGGTCTATACATCGTTCAGCTATTGAAACCACCATTTATGAAAGGTAGTGATGTGCCATGTGCGGCCAAAAACGACGAAGAAAAAACGAGTTCCAATAAGAAAACAGAAGAGCATCTATTAGGTAAAATGTTTGAACAAATCTTCAGTCTATTTGATGATCCGGTTTTCAACAACAGTTACAGTGATAATAGCAGAGGGTTTCATTACAGTAGCAGTTTCTCCACAAAAAATGGTGATGACGAAAATAATGTGAGTAATGGAAATGGTAGTATTCAAAGAAAACTCTATCTTGTGGTCAACTTTGATTCGATCACTTTTGAATGACAGATTTGATATTCAATTGACTCGCTCTTCTAAAGAAAAGTCAACGATGAAGATTGAAACACATAAGAGTCTCCACACTTCAAAATCTATTCTAGTTACCACTGAGAATAATATACGAAGAGTTCGAGTCATTATTTGCAGTTATTCTGCTGTGAAAGTTTTTATAGAACTGTCCAGCTTATGGCGCTTAACTGTGCACGGTGCAAGACTAGAGATCTGCGTGACCAAAGAAAACAAAGATTATTCGATCATAGTTCTCATGGCGGTTGTGAGAAAATAATTCTATTTGATGTTCTGTGTTCAGAATTTTACGTTCTTCAAACTGATACTAAAAAGTCGAGAATATAATGATCTGTGATGGAGAAACCTACGCCACATTTGTCGTGACTAATTTTGGTCACGACAAATGTGCTCCAGTTTTCTCCATCACAAATCATTATATCCTTGAGTTTTTAGTATTAGTTTGAAAAGCTTAAAATTCTGAACACAAAACGTCGAGTAGAATTATTTTTTGACGTCCGCCATGAAAACTATGATCGAATAATCTTTATTTTGTTGGTCACGACGAATTAGTCACGCAGATCTCTATTCAGGACAAATCATATCGACAAATAAACTGATTTTTGTCAATGAACCATTGTAAATTATTTTTCATGGTACATCAGACGTGAAATTAATCATAGATGTTATCAACCTTGAAGTACATCTACACGGCTCCAGCACATTGAAACTTAAAGGCAGCATACAAAATAAGTTGGATGTAGGTGTAGGTGTCGGTTGTGGATGTGGTGGGTGTAGGGATGCTGTCTAAAATAAATAGTAGGTCTACAAAACTCTTTTGGGTTTTGTCTTATACCCAATGTAGAATCCCCTAAAAAAAGTTCTGCAGGCAAAAAATGGTTCCGTAGAGACTCTCAGAACTTTTTTCTCGTCTGCAGAACCTTTTTTAAGTGGTTCTACTTTTGGGTACAAGAGAGAACCAAAAAAAACTCGATAGACCTACTTTTTCAGAGCACACCCATACCTACACCCTCAAGTTTGGTTGTTAAATATCGAAAATCAACCTTCTCCACAGGTTTCTTACTCAGTTGTATTGGACTCAATCTAAAGCAGGTGAAGCTAGAATCATTTTTCTTTCGAAACTATTGCACTGTTAAGAATGGTCCATTTATTTCAGCTAAAAGTGTCTACATAGTACAGTAGCGAGCTTCGAGAATAGCTGGCACAGAAAGAGCATAGACAAAGAAACCGTTACAATTGGTCATGGGTACCTTCGTAGGCCAAATACACGTAAAACTATTCCAATTGAAACAGACAGTTTGATTTGCTGTCTTTTCAACAGCTGGTTCGATAGTATGTTTTGCCCAGCCAGTAGTTTCTGAACCGCAGCGATTCAAGGAGACGGAAGAATTGGCGAGACGAGTGCCGGCTGCACCTTCAAAACGAACCCATGTGGGTGTTGTGCTGAAAAATGTCCCATCTCTTTCGTCCACTACATTAGTGTTGCTAACATGACGAGTACCATCGGTGATTGATGCGTAGTTCGAACATTCCGACGGAAGCAAGTTTGGTGTCAGTGTTGTCGCTAGAATGTAGTAAAGTGACATAATTATCATCGAATGATTCGTAATGGACGGTGAAAGATACACATGACGAAATTGTTTCCACTACGTTCGGATAAGGGAAGAAAAAGTTGTCTCACAATTTAGTCTATTTCTCTATCGATTAACTCCTCAAAATAGATTGTCTCTGTTGTATTCCGTTTATCTTCAGCAAGAAAGTCTTCTGACTTTTCTCACATTCGAACTTCTCTATTAAAGCTATAGTATTCAAAACTTACATAAAGCGATTGTTGTCGTTGAGAACAAAGTCGTCGTTGTTGTTACTGCTGGTGTTGGTGCCACCACTGAAATTATAAAAAAAAAAGAATGAACCTACCCTTACTAATCGCTCTGTCTAGTCGTATTTTTCATCATTTCCAAAAAAAAGCATACCGTTCCAAGTGCAATGTTGGTTTACTTGTGACCAAATTAAATTAGCTGGGCATTGTTGTAAATAAGCATGGTTATGAGCACAGTGCCAAAATGTGTGATGATCATTAGGATTTTCGAACATACCTTCACTGGGACATACAAAAGTTCCATCGATTAGTTTTAAGAGAGAAATAGAAATCAGAACAAAAAGAACTTCTACGCCACGCATGTTCTATTTAGAAGACTCTTTTATTGTCGGGAATTACAAGTGAATTAAAAAATATTTTTCGTTCTCTTTTGTATTTTGTTTTTTACCAGTGCAAGAATCAGTAATCGAATCTTTTCATGTATTGCTGTTTCTAAAAACTAATCTCCTATAAATATTTTCACTTGCGTGTGCTGACGATGCTTTTACTAGGTGCAGAAATAATAAGAACGAATCGACATAAGAGAAGAGCAGAAGTATTTATATTTCATAAGCCATTTTAAAGAAAAATCTTATCATTAGTAAAAAATGCCAAGCATTTGTCGGCCTTCTATTCGATATTGATAAGAGAGAAAAACTATCAATTAAAAAGTCTGCAACAAACAGATCAAAGTAATAATCGATGAAAAATATTTTGTTATGATATCCATCTCAAGATAGTCTTCACAATTATATTGCAATTGGTGTTCAAATAGCAAACTATTCTAAGATCCAATAAACTTCATTTATTACTTTGGACTCATATTCTTTTTTTCATCGAAAAATAGAGCTTGTGATCAAACAAGCAGGTCACCTGCAAGAAGAGAAATGTTTTAATGCTGTTATTTTTTTTACACATGAGTGAAAGATCACTCTTTGAATAATGAGAATGAGAGGTTAAAGAAATTCGAAGAATATTCGTGTTTGTGTTACGCATTTGTTCAGATTCGGAGGGTGTGGGTGAGAGTATAAATGAAGAGAAGACTCACACCTTCCACATCCACACCCACTCACATCCGCTCGAATCATGGACTCTCCTAATCAACCTTACTAATCATTGTGCACGATCGTTTGTCCGGTGTTTCATACATTTTCTATTCCGTTTTTTTTGCGACTAAAAAATAAATTTGGACCCCTTTTTTTCTGAAATTGTTACATTGTTACAAGTCTTGTTTTTGATGGTCAAAACAAGAAGTAATATTTATTGTAATCAACTAAATAAATAGTTACTGAAGATTTTCGAAATAACGATGATTTCTCATGAAGTCAGACTCTTTTGAATATTGATCAGCTCTTGTATCTTTGGCAATAGCCATGATGGCAGGACTCACAATAATCGACAGAAACAGTGTTATCCGCTTTGGTATTATTGTAACGCCAGCAGGCAGTCGACGAAGGAAAATAAATACTCGGCGAATTGTAATAAACAGTCCGCCGATTGTAACCACCATTTGACCCAAATAGATCTTTATGGTAAACTTTTTTAGCCAATTTTTTCAGCAAGTAATGAATAGAATTTTCAATTTCCTGTGATTCATAGTTAGGAGAAATCCAATTTGAATTTGTGCATTTTCTACATCGCTGGCCAAATACTTTCCAATCAATTGTATAATCATGACGATTGATTTCAAATAAAATTGTGGAATGAGTTTTACTGGACCAACAGTGACCATATTTACAACAGTACCTAAAATATTGATCGTTTTGAAATTTCTATCAACAATTACATGTTGGACTTACGTTGCCGAAACATGTTTTTTGAATACTTGAGAATTTTGTCCACTATTCACAATGTCTTGCTTTTCCTCAGTGTTGAAAGTCCAACGATCCGTAATATATTGTCGATATTGACTGTTTAATAAACGATTAAATGTTCCTTGAAAATCCATCATATGAAACGTTTATGTAGTTCACTTTTTGCTATCAAAACAGAGTCAAAATGTTTCTGTTTTCTTGCAAATGGGCAATAATGATAAGAAGAAAAAAACAAAAGTGAAAAACGCACCACTTATTTTGTTCTGTTCATTACGTAGCTAGCTATTGTGACAGAAGGCGAAACTTTAAAAGTAAAAAAACAACAGCTCCCACTGTTAGAGAAAGAGGAGAAACTTTCTGCTAAAAGTGAAAATGTGTTGTTGAATGAGAAGTCAATGTTGCTCGGAAGAATAAATGAATTTCTACAGTAAAAAGCTTTCAATGCAATTTCTTCAGCATTAAAATGTGAAAAACAATGGAGCTGTTCACATGGGGTGGGTGTGGGTGAAGGCTTGGAGTATATATACTCACCTATCCAGATCCACACCCGCACCCACCCAGGTCGACCAATCTGATAGTAGGATCCGATAGGTTCCGTCTCGTATCCAATCGGCATCCTATCGGATTCCTACAAAATTCGGCCGGATCCTATCGGATTTTCTCGGAAAACCGGTGACGGAAATGTGACGGGAGCCCCTGTATCGGAAATCCTATCGGATCCTACTGTCCACATCCGATCGGACGCTATCGGAACGGAAACCGATCGGAAACCACTTTCGGCAGCCGACATTAACCATAGTAACGCAATCCGATCGGTTCCCACTGTTGATAACATATCAAACACCATATTCAAGACTAGAAAGCATCGCAACACATAATAAATAATACACAAATTCAAAATAACAATACACAATACACAAAACCATTAGAGAGGGTGTGGGTGTGGGTGTGGGTGGGTGTGGAAAGGTGTGGGTGTGAGTGTGGGTTCTTTGAGAGTCAATACTCACTCCGACACCCACACCCCACCCACACCCACATCCACATCCACACCCACACCTACACCCACACCCACACCCACACTCTTAAAACTCTCTGGAAGTAGAAAATTAATTTTCAATTATTCTTCGGTAATTGTTGAATTTTTATTTGTCCTGTAAAATATCTATTATATTCACGGTAGCGGAAGTGACTCTACTATCTTGTCTCGATCAGCTCGCAAACACTGAAATTGATTATTTATTCAAGTTGTACCTAGATCAATTCGTTTATCTCGCTGCATATTCAGTAATTAATTGAATTCGATTATGAACGTGCTAACACTGAACAAAAGAAACGTGTTCTTGAATTGTGCGAACGGGTTCTTTTTTAAACGTTTTGATACGTTTTGAAGATGAACGCTCTTTGATTACATGAACGAAATATTCTTAAACGAGTTACAGCGAGCTTCCAGAAAGAGAGTTCTAATGCGTTTGAAACTCATTCGGTACCAACGCGTTTCTTATCTGTAAATACGCGTATGAACGCGTTTTAACTCTTCAATTTCTTGAAAGAACACATTCTGGGTCTGTAAACTGCGTTCCAAATTGACAAAAACGCATTGTTACTCGTTTCTGTCTATGAATATTTTTTCGTGGGTATGCTTTCCATGAACGTAACTTTACAAAGAATAGAAAAGATGCACATGATATTTCTATTGCTACTATTTGAGTTTATTCCAGTACTAATTCAACATTACAAGGGAAATATTGCTTCTATCTATGAGTTCATGTATATCAACTATCTCCTTCCCTTTTTTCTCCTCCTTTATGTACTTGCAAGCGAGAGGAGAGATAAAATAAAAGAAAGTAAGGCTAGAGAAAAGGCGAGCAAATAGTCATCGTTTATCATTAAGCGGGTAAAAGGTGAAGCGGTCACTTTATAGCGTGATCCGATCAGTGGCACAGTTATATTCGCTGAATTACACAGCCGCACCTATTTTTTTGTCCATTTCATATACGATTTTGACCGCTTGACCCGTCACCATTTTTTTTTGTTTAGCTATTGTCAGCGTCGCTGCTATTCCTGCATTTGAATCGAAATAACTTGTCAGAATATACCTAAACTATGCACAATGCCATTTTTATCAAAATCATTCTCTCGTCAAGTTTCGTCTAGGTATTTTTGTTTAAATAGGACATCTATAGTTCATATAGAAGAATTCATCATTATATTGTTTACTTATTTAGAAAAAGATTCCTATTCTTTTATTTAGATATCTCGACGCCTTCAATGAAGACTATCATCGATGTTGCCGTTTCTCTACTGGTCGTACTTTGTTTCGCTACCATAAAATCCAACAATTCAACAATCTCATGTCTTTCATGCAAGAGTTATCCTTATGACAACATAACCAGCGATCTAGCAGAGCATATGTATGATTGTGAGATGCAAAAGAATGATCAATGTCATGGTGGACTTTCTGTGACCTATACAAACCAAGGGCAAAAAATTCTTCTTACCTTCCTTGCTCGTTCAGCTCGCTCAAGCGATTTAGATGATCTTGATGACTCAGTATTCGAAATGTTATCCATTTCATTTAATAAATTTTATGTAAGCCGCTCAATGAATGTTGATTGCTCGGAATCATCAAATTGTTCACTTCATCACGTGGAAGTCTTCAATGAAAAAAGTAAGTCAAGCTTTCGTTGAACAGATTGCCTGCATTACTGTACAATCTTTTGCATAAAGTATAATTCTTGACTGAAATATCGCACTTACATTGTGCTCAAACTTGTTCAGTATCAAACTATCGATTTTTTTAAACTTTCGAAAATACGATGCTAACTAACAATTATTTTGTTTTCATTTTTATATTTAGTTTCTTGGTTTGTTCCTATGTCACTATGGGAAACATTGTCTGATCTATTATATTCTTCAACATCTGTTGCTGCTGATTTGGTATGTTTAGATTCATCAGGTCGGTCGGTTGCTTGTCCCAATGGAGTTTGTCGTATGAGTGTGAACATATATAAATTTAATAATTTGCACAAAATTGATTCCAAGTGTTTTCAAACAAAATCACACCGTAGACCGTATGCTTTAGAATACTCTGAATTGCTACCGTCGTCTATATTCATGAAATTCTCTTGTAATAAACCATTATGCAACTCAAAAGAAACAACACAACGAGTATTCGAAATATTGACAGAAGCCAATATCATCTCAAAATCAAGGATAATTCCAACACTATCGATAAATATAAGCAATGTTGTGAATTAAGAATTATGAAGTATTCGACGAACGAACTCAAGTGAAAATAAAAATTATCTGATTATTTGTTGTTACTGTTGTTTTTCTTATTTATCATGTATATGTGAGTAATCAATAAAATAAAATAATTCTCTAAATTCAAAAACAGTTCAACGTTCAAATTCTAATCGGCTTGCACATGTCACAATTGAAGAAAATAATGCAAAGTTTAAAAAATAAAATTGAAATGAAAATAAAAGAATTGCGAAAAAAAATTCTATTTTAAAAATTTATACGAACAAAAACAATATGATTTAATCAAATTTAAATCACAATAAAATCGAACATTATAACGATATTTTTATTTAAAATAAATTTAATTTATCTAATATTAAAAATTTATATTTAAATGAATCTAAACAAATTGAATTAATTAATAATTTATATCAAAGATATATTGAATTAATTCATTTATCATATAGAAATAATATTAAAAAAATTTTGTTTTCAAGTATATTTTTTTAATGAAAAAAAAAAGAAATTCTCTTGTTTCATAGAAAAATGAACGTATTGAATATTTTGAAGATCTTAAATATTTGATTGATGAAAATGCAAATATTGAATTGAATCTTTTCAATGATGAATATATATTAAAAAATTAAATATTATTTTAAATAAAACTGAACAATTAGAAAATGAACAAATTTTACTAAATATAAGAATTCATTTTTTTATATTGACATTGAGTTGAAAAAAAAATATTCTTTTTTAACTTAATTTGATTGACAAATTGTCTATGTTTTAAATATAGTTATACAAACAATTTAACAAAGAAATTTCATGATTCAAAATAAAGTTTTTATTCGCCTTTGATTTTTTTTTCATTTTAAAAAATATATTTTAATTATTTAGTTAAAACGTACAAATGATATGGAAAATCGACAAGATGAATTATAAAACTTTGCGTATGTTTTTAATTATAAAAATCGAGAATTAACAAATGAAATAGCTCCTCGACAACATCAAGTTAAAGCTTTAATTGAACAATATAATTATGTTTATTACATTTAGAAAAATTGTTTTCTTTTTTTTTTTAAATTATTTATTTAGATGGATAATGAATATGATATATTATGTCAAAATAATGAAAAATATTCAATAAAAATAGCTGATTATAAAGTAAGATTAAAAGCGGCAGAAAAAGAACTTCAATATGAAAAAATCGCTCTAAATTTTCTTCTTTATTTCAATAAATATTTTGATTATTTTATATAAAGATTCATAAGTTCTACGAAATAGTTGTAGATATGAAAGAAGATTTAAAATTATGTCGTCATTTAATTGATAAATCAAAACAATTAATCAAAATTATTTGAAATATTTATGGAAAATATATTCTTCAAGTTCATGTTAGCTACATATTTAAAATCTTTTTCTTTATTTGAATCAATTCTATTTCGTGAAAATCATATTCAAGCGAATAAATTTCTATCGAAAAATCTATTTAAATAGTTAATGTCATCGAAATAGTCTTGTTTTTTTTTAAAATTTTTCATTTTCTCCGTTATATAAATCATATTTTTAGTATGAGACAAAAAAATGATTCTTTTTCAACTGAACAAGAGTGTGGGTGTGGGTGTGGGTGGGCAGGTGTGGGTGTGGGTGGGTGGGGCGTGGGTGTGGGTGGGTGTGGGTGTGATGTTGATGTGAATATAAACAAAGATGGCAGTCCCACACCCACACCCACACCCAACCCACACACACTCACACCCACACCCACCCACACCCACACCCACACCCATCATTTGACATGGCTTTGTTTCACTAAAAAGCATTATTGTTTCTCATCAATATCTGAAAATAAAAGACGAATAAAAAGTGAATTTCTCATTTTCTCAATCGAAATTTGATTAATCAGTGATAAATTCAGTGACCAAACATTTAATTCTCAATGAAGATTTATAGTCTGTTGATTTTTACTTTTGTTATTGAAAAATGTGCATTTTTCTTGTTTGAACAAATATGAAAGAATGAATTTAACTTGAGTTTCGTTTCTAGTAGAACATAAAATAATTTTAAAAATTGTTGATATCTTTTTTTTTTTTATATTTGTCTTAGAGAACGAAATATTGAAATTATTTACCTTTATAAAATGGACAATTATTGTCGCAAATGTAAAGAAGAACATCGAATTTGCACTTTTGATCGTCAAACACTAATTACATATCCTGTTCTTTGGAACATCAATGACAAAAATATTCCGATTTGCTATTGTAGTCATGTTGTAGAAGATCATTTCGATTATGGTAAGTACATTGTTTATATTTAAAATTTAAAAAGTTGAATTTTGTTTAACATTTTCAATATGTGAAAAAGATCATGAGGATGATCTGGTACATGTGTCTTATAAGGATAATTTTAAAACAAAGAAAACATATATTTTTAACTTCGCTTATAGACTGACATTTCTAATCTTTCGTTGAAAAAAGAATTGTTTTTTTTTTCAATGAAGTTCTAAGGGTTTCCTTCATGATATATCATAAATAATTCATAAATTTTTTGGTTATGAAACAAAAAATTAATATATCGAACAACATCGTTAATGCGTTGATTTCAGTCACTATTAAAATGCAAATAGCTTTTTTGTTTTACTAGACTTCATTTCGTACACTATTCAAATTTTGAATTAGAAGAAGAAGAACAAACGTTGTGGAACAGTTTTTCAAGGTCTTATTTTCTGAAGTTTCTAACAAACATTTTAATCAAAAAGTTCCCTTTTAATGAAATTATTTTTCATTAAAAAATCTCATTTTGCAGAAACTTATTGGGACAGAAAAATTCATAGAGAAGACCAACAATAATTAACTAATTGTGTAGAAAATTTATAAATAGAAGATTATGCCTGATTTTAACGTCAGATATAATTGTTATTATACTAAGAAAATAGTCTTAATATGAATTGATTTTCAAATCTTTTATTTGCTGAACAAATTCAAATTTTTATAAGATTTTCTTTTTCTTTTTAAGATATATGGACTGTTATATGTGAAAAATTGACAAAAGCAACAGAATGGCTCATGAAACAACATACGGACTAATTTATTTCTTATTCTTTTTTTTTTAATCATTTGATGATAAACTTGATCATGTCGAACGAATGTTTTGTTATATTGCTAGAGAGGAAATTATGCCTGTTAAAACATATGCTCTTATTATATACAGATCATAACATCATTTTTGATTGTTATTGTCTTAAGGATGTGGGTGTCCAACTGGGTATTAATATTTGGATGTGTGGCTTGTTCTCACTTAGAATCTATCAATATCCATACTCACACTCACACTCCACCCCTAAATCTGATACTAGTCGATAGATCCCATCGAGCTCTATCTGACACAGCTGTTCTTTTCGGTGGCACAAGTCTTGGGACGATTATGAGGTTGAAATACTGATTTTTTTAAAATAAAATCAATGTTTTAAAATTAATTTTTCGAACCTTTCAATCGGTTGACACGATGGAAACTTTTTGAAAAGTATGCATTCCATAGCATATTCGATGCTCTATCAGGCATAACTGATGTCTTTGTTGGCACAAATCTGTTTGCGAATATTTTCTCAAAAAAACTCAAATAGGCTGCTAAGCTTACTTGCATCGAGATCGAACTGAAACTTCTTTTTTCTTCAATTTATGTTATGATGTCCCGTTCGCATACAAATAGGATCCAAGAAAGATAAATTTTTGAGGACTTTAATATTTTTCAAGCTTCAACATAATTACAACGAAAATAAGACGCAATTGTCTTTGCACAAATATGAAACAGGTGTAAGTACAGTTGATGAGAGATAATGAATCATATAGATAAGTAAACAATCAATCGATAATTTTCTTTAGAAGAACATTGACGGGCTTTCATGAAGTTCTCGTAGCGATAAATTCTACAATAGTTACTTTCCATTTTATATTAGGCTGTGACTAGCTGATGAAGGAAACTACGAGTTGTTCCAGTTATAACGATCCATAGAAACTTCAGCTCTCTGTGAAATAGAAACATCATTCAGTTTTGAGTCTCAAAATGGATTTTTTCGAAAAGTTGATGAATTGACATAGTCGATATTCGTGCTTTGCACCTCATCTCGAATTCTCGACTTTGAGATGCCATCTAGTTCTGTTAATATTGCGTAATTCGATAATGTTATATTCAATTGTTGTATAAATCAACAGGTGTTTTTTTTCTTTTCAACTTGATCATTGATAAATGTTTTGTTGTTTCATACTCATAAAGTATTCATACAAAAAGAAATGTCTTTTACAATAAAACAGTTGAAGAAAGAATTCAATTAGGAAATAGTTTTTATATTTGAATGAAATTTCATTATGTACTATTATTACGTTCATTAAGACATAGGAAGACATATAAATACAATTAATTTCATAAGATAAATTATTGTGTATTGTTAATCGCTTTTCAATAAGAACAACTAAATCAATAACGTTGAGTGAAATCAGTTGAGAAAATATTTAAAAAGAATTATAATATCAAGAATACTGATTTATGAAGTATTGTATAAAGTCATTTCAAGAGTTCTGTTTCACCACTATTAGATTTTATGATTTACTATCATCTGAATTAGGGTACGTCGGTCTCGTTGTGACCTAATATAACCATATTTTAAAGTAGAATATACATGAAATAATTATCCCTAAGACATATTGTTATGCGAAGTTTCATATCAAAATTCCAAAGATAACTTTTGCTGCTATTCTTAAGCAGTACAACTACAATGAATGAAAACAAAATTGTGAAAGTTTTATATCTACATTTCAATATGCTTCATTTATTGTGCTGTTGGGAAACTTATAAGAAACTGCTTCTTTATAAATTTCTTCTTTCTTTCAAAATAAAAGAAAAATTCAATATCCAAAAAACGTATCATCATATGATCTCTCAAACATAGATAAAACTTATTGAATTTCTTGAAATTCTTTCGAGAATTTGAAAATGGACAACAGAAAATAGCGCAAATCAAGAAGCAGTAGAAAAATAACTGTCTGCTTAAGATCTTATTTCTGAAATAGAAAACAGTGATACTATTTTGGAAAAGAAATGAATTAACAAATACAAAGTCAAATATCGAACTATCATATCACCTATTCATCTCAATCATAGAAAAGTTCACATAAAACAGGTTTTATCTTAATCAAGACATCTTCGAAAGTACTTTCATGAATTAGTCCTTTCATAATCACTCAGAAATACTAAGAATTCAATTGAAGATAATTTTTCTTTTATCCTACTCTAATAAATAAAAGATATCTCAAATTTCAGAAGACAACAATTTCTACCATATTCACTAATGTACACTAAGAAATCTTCTTTGTGATGAATTTCATTTTTTCAAAAGAAAATATTTGACAGTTATTACGTGCCATTGAACATTTCTCATTTTTTTGAAAATATTTTAAAACATCGATCAATTGTCTTGTATTTCTATTCAATAACATCAACTATTCATGAACATCATACTTGATTTATTAACAAGAACAAAAACAAAATTACAATATATACAATTATCACTAATAAAAAATATTAGATCACAATGGCAACGAAGTTAATCCTTGTCTCATATACAATACAACAAGTGTAATAATACGTAAAGTAAAATGAATATATATATATATATATTGTTAAAGATACAAAAAACACTTTTAAATCAAATTACCTATTGTTCCAAAAATACTGACATATTGACTAGTATAATTTCGTTGTTCTGGAGTTTTATGAATAATTTTCAAAAACTCATTCTTTGAAACAAAAGAAGAAGATAAATATTTATTTTTCATTAGATAAACTTACCAAATAGTTTTGACTTTCAAGCCATGTATGAAGATTTGTTACAATAAAATCTATTGTCCACTCAACAACAGCTGAAATAATTAAATCGATATTTTCTTGTTTTCGTTGTTTAATAATATGTTCACCTATTACTGCTAAGAATGAAATAAATGTGATTATTTTAGACCATGTTATTTATCAATTATCAACTAATTTATTGGCGATCATGTAATGCATGTTTTTGAATTCATTTAATGAAAATGATGAAATACAACGAAAATCAACTATGAACTGTTGAGAAAACATTTGTTCACTTTCATAAACAATTCAACGAATAAGAATAAATAATTGATTAGTTGTTGATGATTTATTTTTTAATCGTCAAGTAAAATAATCATTGACAATCGATTGGGTCATTGTTGCATATTTATAGAAAGACATATTGTACATTTGTGTTTTTCGATTTGAAATGAATGAAAGTGATCCAAATCAATGATTTTTTTGGCTTCGATGATAATAGCAATTTATTAATGAAGAAAGC